CCCCCCCCCCCCCCCCCCCACATTTGGGCAATCTAAATGTGTAAAATGGATGTTAAAAATATGTTTCCTTCCGAAACCCCTGCAGTCTCGCCTCTTCCAAACATCTTCTGATGCCCACCTGAGCTTTTCTTTCACATGCTAATTGTTTTCTGCAGGAGAATCTGTGCTGATAGCGCTGAACGTCTGTCTGCGGTTCTGTCCACTCAGCAGTTTTCCTGATCCCAAACAGCTCACACGTTTTATCTCATCTTATCTTGTCAGAAACAGGATTATTGATTTTCTCCTTTTCAAAGTCACATCGGAAGTCGATTTAGATCCTGCTGGAGCATTTGCTCAGAGCGGTCGAGTGGCGTGTGTACAGACTGGAACTGCTGAGAATTTGGTGTTTGTTGTAACATACAGTACAGCGATGCACCATTTATGACAAATCAAAGCATAAAAAAGAAGCGAGGGATGACGCATGGAAAGAAACATGAAGCATTTGACATTCCTACAGGAGGTACTGGAGTTTAATGCTTAGCTAAATATCTTTCCACTTGAGGTAAAGCAACACTGAGCAAATTATGCTTCAAAAATGCAAGAATTATCCAATTACGTATTGAAGTATTTGTACTTTTTGAACTATCCCATTGGAAATATTTCAATAATATCGCTAATGTTTCACCTAGACAGCAATAGGACTGAATGGAGAGCAAAAAAAGACCCTAATAGTCAAAAGAGAGTTTCAGAAGAAATCACAACAGTGTCTCAAACTGTACTTAGATTTGCAAAGATATCAAATCTCCAATAAAATCTCTGTATGAACTCAAACATTTCTGATCAAGAGGAAATTATATATTTTAGCATTTTACAGTAGGTGCAACATCTTAATAATTAATACTAGTGCTGTCAAACGATTAATCGCGATTAATCGCATCCAAAATAAAAGTTGTTGTTTACTCAATATATGTGTGTGTACTGTGTATATTTATTATGTATATATAAATGTAAATACATGTAAATATTTTCAAAATATATACTGTATGTGTGTGTATTTACATATACATAATAAATATACACAGTACACACACATATTGAGTAAACAAAAACTTTTATTTTGGATGCGATTAATCGCGATTAATCATTTGACAGCACTAATTAATACCTAAATAAAACATAATTAAGATCAATATTATAGGGGTCATATATATATATATATATATATATATATATATTATTAAATTATTTCCACATTTGGGGCCAGCAAGTTTTCATTTAAAAACATAAATTAATAATTTCATTCAGCAAGGATGCATTAAACTGATCAAAACTAACAGTGAAGACATTTATAATGTTACAAAGTATTTCATTTTTGAATGAAAGCAGTTTTTGAATTTCCTATTTATCACAGAATCATGAAAAAGTTTTCCACAAAAAAAAACAATTAAGCAAAAAAACCTTTTCAACAGTGATAATAATCAGAAATGTTTTGTGAGCAGTAAATCAGCATATTAGAAAATAAATATTAATATTAAAATTAAATTATTCAGAAATATAAATTTCTGAAGGATCATGTGAAACTGAAGACTTGAGTAATGATGCTGAAAATTCAACTTTGCCACACAGGAATAAATTACATTTCACAATATATTAAAATATGAAAAAGTAGTTTTAAATTGTAATAATATTTTAATATTTCCCAATATTACTGAACTATTTTCTTATTAATCTTTTCTTATTTATTTTATTTTTTTGGAACAAATAAATGCAGCCTTGGTGAGCATAAGAGACTTCTTTCTTGCAGAGTCCAAACTTTTGAACACTACTGTATAATAATATAAAACAGATTTTCGGACTAAAGAAGACTTAAAGCTACAGTTTTAAATTCTTCTCAAGGAAAAGAAAAAGTTGATTCCTCTTGACATGACCCCTTTTAGTCTCCTCTGAGCAATAAATAAATAAATAAGTTTTAGCATCATCATCAGAATTGAGTGCTACTCTTCCTCAAGTGGATCGAATCTGTGAGTTCTGACCTACAAATAATCACACCAGCGATGGAAATCAGTCCTAAAGCATTCAGACAGGCAGAGCAAACGAGCAAAGACATTCCAACATAAACACAGATGAACAGACACGCAAACAACGGACAGAACAGTCCAGGAGAGATCCAGAATGAGAAGACAGACCTGTTCTGCGAACATCCTGGGTTTGTGCTCAGGCACCACCCCTCCCCTCAGCTCGTCTTCCACGGCCATGAGTCTTCACGGAAAACAAGGAAGCGAAGGAGAGAGAAAGACATTATTAGTTCCAAAGCACACAGACTTTATTGAGATCAGACAGAAGTGTTCATCAGCCAGAAATATGACCGATAAAAGCTTTGTAGTTTGGCTGATTTGGTCTGATCTGGAAAGCCTACTGTGAGAAATTCCATCAAAAAGATGTCACATTATGTCATATAATGACATATTTCCATCATCCCATGGGAATAAGGGAGCTGATAAATGAAAATGGGCCACGTTGTACGGCTTCTAACGATGGCTGCCGCTCTTACTGGCAGCTTATTTCAGCAATTACACACCATTGAAGTGGCCGCCAGAACGCATCAAAGTGACGTTTGGTTCATACACAAACAGGGATGTTTTCATATCCCCACATGAACATTTCACAACTCCCTGGAAATCGCATCAGATACTGTTTTTAGGCAAAACAAACCACAGGCCCAAAACCGGTGTGATTATCAACTGAACAATGGCTTTGTAAGGAATGATGTGTCTTGTGATGTTTGGTTTGATATATGTTGACAAGACAATATGAGCACATGACAGGACAACTGACATTAAATGCATGCATTTGGTTTGAATATGAAAGGTTTCATTGTTTTGATGTGTACTCATATGAAATGGTACATTTATTTATTGCAGGACAACTTATTCTAGTTTTAGCATACAAGTAAATAATGAATTGCACAGTTTAGGTTTAAAACAATGTGATTGGATATTTTATTCCATTGATAAATGTACATATATGCTTGTACAAAATCGAATGCAAAAGTAATAAACAGCAAAAACAAACAAAATTAAAAGACAAAATAAGTGCTTCAGGCCTTCTAAAAAAATACAGAATCATTCATTTTATTTCAAGTCCGCTCATGTCTTTCACAACAATGTGATTATTTATTTTTTTTATTAACAAAGGTCACATTTCACAAGCAGAGGTCAGAAGGGTCATGAGAAGGAATCGTTAGTAAAACTTCATTGTGCTATTTAACATTGCTACAGTATCAAGGCATATTTATTGCACACAGTTTGGATACAAGAATTAAATATATATATATAACTTGTATACAGAATATATATTATCTATACTCTATTTCTGAATAAATAGCTTTTAAAAGAATTTATAGGGAAGCAATGTCTTTGTTATTGGTTTCTAACTGTATAGAATCTTTAATACACTAATTTTTATACATCGATATATGAAAGGCTAACAATGAAAAACAAAAATTCAGTGCAAATATCTTCCAAGTTATTGTTTATATCAACAACACATTGCAAAAAAGATTTTCTAAGAATTAATTTCAGTCCTAAATTAACTCAGTGTTTATGTTTCTTGATCTATAATTCATATCTCTATGTTTATTTCACAAACAGCACCACACAAAATAAGATATTTATAAGTGCCTGTATCACAACTCACTTACCTCATGTTTAATATTTGATACTGCATCATCTTGGTATTGCACATGAAACATAACACTGAAACATACTGAACACAACTATGGTTTGTTGTGTTAATATTTATCTGTAAAGGTTGAAAACAAATCCAGGTCATATTTCACCTCAAAATCAAAGGAAATAAATATATGTATTTTGCATAAAGCAAATGAAGCCCCTTTTGTATTTTATGCTGTGAAAACGCTTGTACATTTACTTAGTAGAAAAGCATAAATAACATGATATACAAATACTTTCATTTACATTATATATATATATATATATATTAGTGCTGTCAAACGATTAATCGCGATTAATCACATACAAAAAAAAGTTTTTGTTTGCATAATATATGTGTATACTGTGTATATTTATTATGTATACATAAATACACACACATACAGTATATATTTTGAAAATATTTACATGTATTTACATGTTTATATTTATATTAATATAATTTATATTATAAATAAATATATTTAATAAATAAACATAACCTATTTTTCTGAAATATATACATGCATGTGTGTGTATTATACACAGCACACATACATATTATGTAAACAAAAACTTTTATTTTGGATGTGATTAACTGCAATTAATCGTTTGACAGCACAATTACAATTACAATATATATATATATATATATATACATATACAACTAAAATTAATTCATAACTTATTAAAATATAAAATTTATGTTTAAATTAATGATTAATGTGCTGCCTTCATCTTTTTATTTTGGAGTGAAACATGACCTTGACCAGGTTTTGTAAGATTAAGCCATGAATTTAAACATTAGGAGTCATATATGAGGCTTGTGTTTGAATATGAGCAAACACAAGCCTGTTTCTGAAGTTTTACTGATGCATATTTGAAAATGCATGCTCTTGACGCTGAAACTGATATTCCCGCAATGCCTGAACAACTGAAAGCCAAATGTGATGAGGAGCGGCTGACACATGAGAGCGCTGTTCTTGTGATAGCACATAGAGATATGGAGAACATGAACATCTGACATATGATCTATTCTGATGAGTAAGACACTTTCATCACGCAGTATGTTCCGGAACACAGTGACGAGAGAAGTGCAGCAGAGAAGCTTGAACAGGCAGTTCAGGAAGAGAGGATTCTGGGTATTTTCAAGATGTTCTGCTACAATCATCGATGGTTATTTGGAAGAGAAATCAGCCAGCACCTTTTCTATTTTCAAGATAAACAGGTAAAAGCCGAATAAAGGCTTTTTAAATAATAAAACATTATTATTGCAGATATGCTGAAATAATTCACACTCACTCATCTCATTCTTAAACCTGTATTACTCTCTCTATACAGTGTATACTTCAAATAGGACAAAACAGCTTTTTTGTCCATCCATCCATCCAACCAACCAACAAATAAATAAACTAACTAAATAAATATTTATTTATTTATTTTAATTTAATTTAATTTAATTTAATTTATTTTATTTTAATTTAATTTATTTTAATTTAATTTATTTTAATTTAATTTAATTTAATTTAATTTAATTTAATTTAATTTAATTTAATTTAATTTAATTTAATTTTTCTTTTGCATTCCACTGAAAACTGAATAGCATACAGGTTTGGAACGACATGAGGGTGAATAAATAATCACAGATTTTTATTAATGGATGACCAAGTTTGTGCAGATGGCAATTTTTCTTAAACATTAGCAATTCATGAAGCAACTTTTCTTTTCCGCTCAAGCACAATCTGTCCATGTCAAACTTGTTTCCTCAGACGGCAGAGCTTGAAATGACAAATATATACTGCAAACACATCCCGTTCATCCTGAGATCATTTCCAGTAAGGTATTGCACTAATACACGTCAAGGAGGGAAGAGACTTGATGATTTATATTTTTATGCCCTTTTGGGAGTAAGAACCAGGTCTCCCTTCATCATCTGAGTGTCTTGACTCCATGTCTTCATTCCTAGAATTGGATTGAAATAGCAATATACTCTGTGACATAGAATATGGAGTAAGTGCTGCATTACAGGAAGTTACATCATCATTTCATCAACCAATGGGTGGGGTGATGTCATTTATAACAGTGAACAAAACATTGGAAGATGGATCTTTGTAGATTCATACAGCTGAAAAGAATCCAAATAACACCGTAATAAAAATGGTGAAATGAAACAAAGTAAAACAACAACAGGGAGGAAATGAACCCGGTTTTTTGAGGAGACACAACATGGCAATTACATGACTGAGACGTCCATGTTAAACTAACATGAGAGTGGCACACTTCAACATAAATGGCAGTCGCTTTAGAGAACCCCTTATAAAATGTATAAAGCATATACACAGTGACCCTAAAAAGTATTTGGACATCTGCATCATTCTAAAAAAATGAGATATCAAATAATATACTGTATCTGCAAATTAAAATTGAAATGAATGAATTAAAAGGAAATTAAACTATTTTAAAATAATTGTAAAAATAAAATGTAATAGAAAGTTAATACAATTTAATAAAAAATAGTCCTTTCAGACATACTATTTATAAAAAAAATCATGGTTTTAACAAAAATATGAGGCAGCACAACTGTTTTCCGCATTGATAATAATAAGAAATGTTTCTTGAGCGGCAAATCAGCATATTAGAATAATTTTTGAAAGATCACGAGACACTGAAGACTGGAGTAATGATGCTGAAAATTCAGCTTTGATCACAGGAATAAATTACATATTAAAATATATTCAAATAGAAAACAGCTATTTTACATTTTAATAATATTTCACAATATTACAGTTTTTACTGTATTTCTGGTTAAATAAATACAGCCTTAATGAGCATAACTGTCTCCTTTCAAAAACATTTGAACAGTAGTGTATATAATGTATTATCACTTTTTGTGAAAGTGTGCTATATTTCTTTAAATGAATGCCACTAGATTTGACATTTTGATAGTATGATATTTTGTTATCTCAATGCAATGTCATTCAGATCTTTTTTAAGTTTGGTTTAATTATACAAATACTGTTTTGGGCCACTATTTCTAAACAGCATTACATAAGGGGTCCTTGTCAAAGGAACGGAAGTACAGTAAGTACACAGCGAGTGTGATCATGTAACCACCGCTCAATGTTTCTCCAGCGTTTTTTTTTTTTTTTTTAATTACCTGTCAATAATTCCTTTAATTTGGTTGTCTTTCTCCATCTGCTGCTGTCTCAGTCTCCTCTCGCTGTTCTCCAGTCGGCTCTGATACTGCAGCAGGATTTTATTGGTCTGCTGCTCCTGAGTTAACATCCTCCTCTCGTACTCCTCCAGCTTGCGGTGTGACATCATCAGACGCTCCTTCAGAGAGTTGATCTCCTCCTCGTATTCACGCACCTGCGTCCAGAGAAGAGAGGAGGACAGCAGGCGTGTTAGCAGAGCAGATGTTACGCTCATCTTGACGGCTTCCTTGAGACTGTAAGGTAATAGGTTGGTGAGTGAGTAACTAAAAGTGTCAAAAAGTATTAAAAGGTAAAAGTATTAAATAAAAAAACAAAAAAACATTTAAATTAAATAAAAATTAATTTAGAAAAACAAATATAAATTAAATTAAAGTAAAAAACTAAAATGTTAATTGAATATTTTTTGAAAATTATAATTAACAGCTGAAGGCCACTGTCAAAGAAACCTGGGCTTCCATACCACCTCAGCAGTGCCACAAACTGATCACCTCCATGCCACGCCGAATTGAGGCAGTAATTAAAGCAAAAGGAGCCCCTACCAAGTATTGAGTACATGTACAGTAAATGAACATACTTTCCAGAAGGCCAACAATTCACTAAAAATTTTTTTTATTGGTCTTATGAAGTATTCTAATTTGTTGAGATAGTGAATTGGTGGGTTTTTGTTAAATGTGAGCCAAAATCATCACAATTAAAAGAAACTACTTCAGTCTGTGTGCATTGAATTTATTTAATACACGAGTTTCACAACTTAAGTTGAATTACTGAATTAAATGAACTTTTCCACGACATTCTAATTTATTGAGATGCACCTGTATTATCCCTTCCATTAAATGGCTTTAATAAATGTTCAAAATGCTATTAAAATCTGGGGCAACAAAAAAAAGTTTCTTCCATTTATTAAAAGTATTAAAAAATGAAAGTAAAAATAAAAGTTTTAATTAAAATAAAAAGTAATTAAAATTACATAAATTATAAATAAAACAATAAAAGTAAAAATCAAAAATAGTTAATTTTTTTTTATCATTTTGTCTATTAAATGGCTTTAATAAACTTTAAAAATATAATTAAAATCTATTAAAAGTAGTGCTGTCAAACGATTAATCACGATTAATCGCATCCCAAATAAAAGTTTTTGTTTACATAATATATGTATGTGTACTGTGTATATTTATTATGTATATATACAGTATATAAAGACACACACATACAGTATATATTTTGAAAATATTTACATATATATATTTATATTCATATAAATTATGTAATATATAAATATATTTAATATATAAACGTAACATATTTTTCTTAAATATATACATGCATGTGTGTGTATTTATATATACATAATAAATATACACGTCATGAATCCGGTCCATGAACTTCCGTCGGCTAACCATCAGAGGTCACCCTTCCCATTTTCATTGACTCTCGCACTCACACTGTTGCATATCATCCCGGACTACATATCCCATCATTCACAGCACTGATTGCACACAGCTGGTTCACTAATTGCACACAACACTGATTGCACCCAGCTGTTTCATATCACTCCCTCACTATTTAACACTCACTCTGATCCCTTCGCTCTGCTGAGTATTGTTTAGCGCCTATCATTTGATAGCTACTCTATAGAGCCCCGTTAGCCTCCTAGCCTAGCCTTGCCTAGCCTTGCCTAGCCTTGCCTAGCCTTGCCTAGCTGATATCACTGGTTTTATGGCCTAAAAGGAATGCAGGGGATAAACTCCCTCATTTTCCTCATAAGAAGGGACACAAATGCACAGGAGAAATTGACTTTTCTACTAATTAATTCATAGGAAAACCTTCTTTGAATGAACACCCATTTTCTTCAGGCCAGTGTGTATATTATTGCTGTGTTGTATTTAATCTGTTGTATTATAGACTATTTTTATTCATGCTTACGATAAACCACTCATTCATATAAGTAACTATTTCATGTCTAGTATCTATGAATTCGCTTTTTTATGATCGAAACAAGCGTGTATATTATATGGTGGTACATAGGCAATATATATTAGGGCCCTGAGAATCGTTAGTAATTTCGATTTAAGTCCATTTGCAAATTACCATGCTTAGAGAACAAAGGGGTCGTAAATCCTCCAGCAATTGCCACCTCCCGCTAGGAAATTTCCATCTCTTTCATTGGACAAGCCCATCTTGAAAGGCGGGGATCTTCTCCGACCTTAAAGGCCACACTTCATGTGACCCGCCCCAGTCGGTGGTTCGGTCAGATGCAGATGAAGATGTGAGAAAACGCTGCAGGATACCATAAGCATGGTGCCAGGCCTTTCGGCCTTGACTTTTCCATTCACCAAAGATTCTCTGACTCAAACTGGTTCTTTTCATCAACTAATTTCAGCAAGATCTTGGGCCTTAAGATTGCATCAGGAATCTTTTTCAGACAGACTCGCAAGTATCAAACTTAGTCGTTTTAATTGATGCATTAAGTATCAGTTACACCTTTTTACAAGGTGTGTTTGAGCTAAGAATCTGACGTTTTCCCTCAGGTTTTAGATCTGCTGAATATGCAAAGTTTTCCATAAAATTCATTCTTTATGCCTCTTTCTGTGCTGAGTTAAACTTTAACCCTTTCCTATACCAACTGTATGTGTGTGTGTGTGTGTGTGTATGTGTATGTTAGACCAGTTTATGTGTTTATGTAGTATGTTAGACTAGTTTAAGTGTTTATGTAGTTAATAAAACCTTACTTGTATCACACTTGACGTGTTCATTGTTTGCTCATAACCGGAGTCACTAATCATGCAGATTTACGCTACAAGCTTTGTAGAATTGTACAGTAAGAAAGTTATTTCCCTTAACCAGGAAATTAACGTTCTTAGAATTGACAAGACAGTTGACCCTGAGAGGTCAGCTAAATATCTACAGCGGATCTAAAATATAAATAGTTAATTATAACTAGTTATGGTTAATTATTCATATTTCCTGTCATGAGCTGATTCGTTACATCTTCCTGAGTCATGTCTAGTCACAGCTGATCTTCATGAGTCTAGTCAAGTCACAGTTGATCGTCATGGGTCAAGTCTAGTCACAGGTGATCTTCATGAGGCCACTCAAGTCACCGCTGATCATCCAGAATCACGTCGCATCCCAGCCGATCATACAGAGTCATGTCACGTCCTGTCTGTTACACCCAGAGTATCAAGGTCAGTTCTTCGGTATCCCAGACTAGCTTCCAGCGTGGAGGACCCACCGCTGGTGTCGGCACGTGCAGCTGGCATCCCTAAACCAGCGCTCAAGCCCTCCAGCTTCTGAACTATTTCCTCTGTCTGTAACGCTTCCCACCATGGGGATCGCTTTATAGTGCATCTGGGCCGCGTACTCCACCGCCGATTTGCTAGAGGCAGCGGCACCAGCTATAATTTCTCCAGAGGGGAAGTGGTGGCGCCCAGCAACGTCACAGATATAGAGGCCGTTTGCGAACTCCCTGCTCATCCTGTCACGGCTAGGGAGGCAGTTTGTGAATTCTCTGTGTGCTTTGTGTCTGCCAAGGAGGTCGGTTGTGAACTTTTGTCCTGTCCCGACCCAGCCAAGGAGGCTGCCTCTGAACACCCAGCCTTATCTGTCAACCCCAATGTTCTGTCTGTGTTGTCTGTCTCTGCTCTCTCGTTATTACAGTCTCCGCCATGGTCT